AGCCCGATGTGGGACTCGATCCCGGGACTCCAGGATCATGACCTGAGCCGAAGGCAGTCGCTTAACCAACTGAGCCACCCAGGCGCCCTCAGCACCAAGTTCTTAAGCCTCATCCATGTCACTAAGTGTCCAGTTTGCTGTTTTCCAGCTTCAGCTTCTATTCCATAGCAGGTGCCCAAGGCCACTCATCGGTGCCCCGTATTGGACGCCTAGGTGGCCCCCAGCTCCCTGCCTCCATGAACAGTGCCTAATGAACATCCTCTAGCATGAGTCCTAGGGGCCTGCAGAACATTTCCCTGGGATATACACCCCAAAGCAGGATTTCCAGATCCCAGGGTAAACATACCCTCAACCTGAGAGTTGCTGTCCAGAATGGCCACACTTGGCTGTCAAGTCTCACTCCTTGAAGCCAAAGTCTACAGCCAGAACCTGTTTCACTAACTGGAGGAGAGTCTTCACAAACTGTGCACTGTGACTTCCCCCTTTGATGCTGGCCAGCAGTTTGGCATGGATTTATTCAGTATTCAGGTAAAAAAAAAAAAATAGTTCCTCAACTCTTACTGAAATCCCTCTGTCTAGACTGTCCAGTGCAGCTTAAGAACAATTCAGGATCCTTGTTTGGCTCCTCAAGGGCAAAAACCAGGACCACCAGCCAGGACCTTCTGGTGCATTATCAACAATCACTTCCTGCCTGCACACGCCACGGTGGATTCTGGATGCCCGGTGGCTGAACACCCAAGCCATCGCTAATTCTGCCTACAGTGGCTCATTCTCCTGACCACTCCCAGTACTGCTGCCCCAGTCACCCTCCCCGACCCCATATCAGGTTGTACTGCTTCACTGGGCCTCTTGGGAATGGGAGTCTGCTCCTCTGAGGCCCTGCACACCCAAACACCAGGCCTCTGGCTTGTCCTCACTCTGCTCCTCATGGGAAGCCTGACTGTTGTCCCCTTAACCACTGGCCTCCCACTCCTTCAGAGAGTACACCTCTCCCTGCCTGGCACCTCTCTAGTTCCCAGTTCCTTCATTAGAATGGTGGCATCCACCTCCTGACGACTGCTGTGAGAAATGAATGAGATCACTGACATCAAGTGCTAGGCACAGACCCTGGTCTAATGTTAGCAACTGATACCACACACGCACACACACACCAGTGGGCTGACCAAATGTCCCCCGCCTCTGTGCCTGGCAGTGAACAGCTGTAGTCTCCATATCCTCCCACCCATCTGGGTAGGTGGTAGTGGTTTCATGGGATGTGTGTGTTACCTCTCCTGAACTTGCTTCATTCTTTTCTCCATCTCTTCCCCCTACCCAGGGAAGATTCAGTAAGTGACAAGTCCCAGACCCACTCACCCAGAGGCAGAGAGGGGGCTGAGATACAACCTGTCTCCCCAGCCACAGAACATCCAGATCCTTATCTTCTGATGTCTGGCCTAGGAGTTCCAGCCCTCAATACCGCCATTTCCTGTCCATATTTTGTTATCTGCTTCCTTCCTCTGCTGCTTCTTCATTTTAAGTTGCAAAGTTATTGGGAAAGGGGAAGAACCTGCTGAAAAAGAGAGTGACCCAAAGCCAGAGCCGCAAAGGGAGCTTGATGGCACCTTGTCCCCTCACCTGCCAAGGGCCCGCCCAGCCATGGCAGGGCCCACCTGGCTGGATCCCAGGCTGTCCTTGGCTCTCGGCCCCAAGCTGAGATCCACAGCTCCAACCCTGCCCTGCGGGAAGTGCCTGCCCACTGTGGTCACAGCGCAGGTCCTCTTGGGGGACAGTTTCTGATCCAGCTGTGACCAAGATTTACATCCTGCTCAGTTCAAAGCTTCTTCAACCTGGATGCTCTTTTCAGTGTCACACAGAGGAGACATACTCCAGTCTTACAGTTCTAGAGGTTGGAAATCCAAAATTGGTCTCGCTAGGCCAAAGTCAAGGTGTCAGCAGGGCTTCGTTCCTTCTGGAGGCTCCAGGGCAGAATCCACCTCCTTGCCTTGTTCCACCTGCATGTGGCCCCACACCACTCCACCCTTGGCTTCCATCAGCACATCTGTTTCTCTGACTCTGATCTTCCAGCTTCCATTTTATAGGAATCTTACGATAACATTGGGCCCACTGGATGACCCAGGATAATCTCTCCATCTCAGGATCTTTAACTTAATCACTTCTGTAAAGTTCTTTTTGCTGTTCAAGGTAAAATAGTCACAGGTTCTGGGGATTATAATGTGGACATCTTTTTGGGGGCCTCTATTCTGCCAAATAATGGAGCTTAGGGAGGGATGAATAGAGCCCTTCCTTTCCTCTTATAACGAGTTCCTCTTTTACACCCTAAACATCATTTCACTCTGCTCCAGGGGTCCCGTGATCTCCCACTAGTTTGGTAATTCACTGGAAGGATTCATACAACTTGACAAGTTATAGTCATGGCTAAGGTTTAGTACAGTGAAGGATACAGTGCAGGAGTAGCAGGAAGGGTATCCATGGGCAAACACTAGAGATGGGGTGCAGGTATCCAAGTCACCCCTCTCTACAACTGCCGTGGGAACATGCATTTCTCTCTGGCTGCAAACTAGAGACATGTGTGAGGTGTCTCCACCCAGGTGCATATCATGAATCTTCCTGCTGACACAGAACAATGCTGACCACTTTCTCCAGCCTGACCCACTGCCTCGGGTGTAAAGAAAAACCTCACTTATCAGTGACTATGTGAACATTCCAAATATTTAGTCCTCAAACTGGCCAAGAGTCACTGTCATGGCTCTGGGCATTCCTGGAGACAAATAAGAACTAAATGAAAGGGACACCTCGGTGGCTCAGTTGGGTAAGCATCTACCTTTGGCTCAGGTCATGATCCCAGGGTTCTGAGATTGAGTCCCGCATTGGTTCCTTGCTCATCGGGGAGACTGCTTCTCCCTCTGCTTGCCGCTTTTCCTGCTTGTGTGCACGCTCTCTCTCTCTAACAAATAAATTTTTTAAAAAATATTTCAAAAAAAAAAGAACTAAATGAAAGAGACGTACTGCAATAAACCTTTCTTCACACACTCCTCAAATGGAGCATGTGCATTCCCTGCCCATCTCTGCCTCCTGCACCAGTGGGTAACTCCTGGATTCATCAGTGACTTCCCATCACTGCAACCAACATTCCCATGCACTTTCTGTGTGTCAACATTGTGCTAGATCCTGAGGAGGCAGAGATAAACCTTCATTCCTGGTCCTACTCTCAGACAGCTCATGGGATCATATTTACCTATCGCTGCACAAGTGACCCCCAAACTTAGCTTAAAACAATAACATATATTATCTCACAGGAATTGTGCATGGCTTTGTCTATAGGTTTCTCACAAGGCTGCAGTCAATGTTGGCTTGGACTGCACTCCCATCTGAAGACTCGACTGAGGATGAGTCAGTTTCTAAGTTTGTTCATGTGGTTGTTGGCAGGGTTCAGTTGCTCACAGACCATGGAACTCAGTGCTGTTCTGGCTATTGGTCAGAAGCCCTCTCAGTTCCTTGCCACATGGACCTCTCCAACATCTCACAACATGGCATCTGGCTTTCATCATAGCAAACAACTGAAAGCCAGCAAGACAGAAACCAGAGTCTTTTTGTAACCTATTGGCAGACTGGCATCCTGTTACTTTGTCATATTCTATTCATTAGAAGCGAGTGGGTCCAGCCCACACTCATCGCCCCTCTGCTCCTACTGAGCCCCTTTGTAAGCCCCTCAGTACAAAGAAAGCCATTTAGTTAGGGTGCTGGGAGTCAAGAAGCTCTTGTTAATTAACTCATGAAAAGGTGTGAGAATATATTTCTTCAACTAGAAGCAATGCACTAACCAACTAACAGCCTGTTGTCACACCTGTTTATAGGGGCAGTGTTGGGGTGCCTGCCACATTCCTCATCCTGCAGGAAAGAGGCCAAGTCACCTAATAGGTGATCTGCAGTCAGATGCCCAAAGGCTCTACCTGGAGGCTCACCTGTTCCATATTTTTAGCAACTCCTTGGATGAAGGCATACAAAGCATGTGGGATCCTTCTGGAGATCGCACAAATCCAGGGGAGGGGGATGTCAAAAAGAGTAGCAGATAAGATGTGATTTCTCTACCCAGGGCATAAGGGCTGAGCCTTAAAGAAGGAGAAAGGAACTCCTCCCCAGGACAGAGGCCACTGAGGATGCAGGACAGAGGGACAAAGAGAGAGAAGAAGGGGAGAGGTTCATTCTGGAGCTGGGTGAGGTCCTTCATGCCTGGCCACTCACTGCCCCTCTAGCAGCTCTGTTTGCCACTTGTTACAAGAAAACTCTCTTCCCAGCACCTCCTGCATGTACGGGTGGTGCTCTTGGCTCTACTTTAAAGCAAGATCCCCATTCTTTTTTTTTTTTAATTTTTTTAAATTTTTTATTGTTCTGTTAATCATCATACATTACATCATTAGTTTTTGGTGTAGTGCTCCATGATTCATTGTTTGTGCATAACACCATGCAGAACGTGCCCTCTTTAATACCCATCACCAGGCTAACCCATCCTCCCACCCTTCTCCCCTCTAGGACCCTCAGTTTGTTTTTCAGAGTCCATCGTCTCTCATGGTTCTTCTCCCCTTCCGATTTCCCCCCTTCATTCTTCCCCTCCTGCTAGCTTCTTCTTTTCTTTTTTTCTTAACATATATTGCATTATTTGTTTCAGAGATGCAGATCTGTGATTCAACAGTCTTGCACAATTCACAGCGCTCACCATAGCACATACCCTCCCCAATGTCTATCACCCAGCCGTCCCATCCCTCCCACCACCCACCACTCCAGCAACACTCAGTTTGTTTCCTGAGATTAAGAATTCCTCATATCAGTGAGGTCATATGATACATGTCTTTCTCTGATTGACTTATTTCGTTCAGCATAACACCCTCCAGTTCCATCCATGTCTTTGCAAATGGCAAGATCTCATTCCTTTTGATGGCTGCATAATATTCCATTGTATATATATACCACATCTTCTTTATCCATTCATCTGTCGATGGACATCTTGGCTCTTTCCACAGTTTGGCTATTGTGGACATTACTGCTATAAACATTGGGGTGCACGTACCCCTTCGGATCCCTACATTTGTATCTTTGGGGTAAATACCCAGTAGTGCAATTGCTGGATCGTAGGGTAGCACTATTTTCAACTGTTTGAGGAACCTCCATAGTGTTTTCCAGAGTGGTGCAACTCAAACTTTTTCTGTAGGAGCACAACTTCTTGTTTACTCCACTCTCTAGGTGTTCTCAAGAGAGGAAAAGTAAACCTCTGGCCCTCATCCAGACTACTCTCGAGGGAGGAACAATACACTGTTAGGAAGGGCTGGGTCCCAAGGAGACCCTCACAGGCTCCTTGACACAGATTTGGGGCACAAAATGACCACCCCCAACCCCGTCACCGTCCCCGGGGTCTTACCATCTTTCTTTACCAACTTTCCCCCTTCCCTTCTCAGGCTAGCCATACAACTCTCCATATATGTAAAGTGGTCACATTTTTCCAAATGGTGTTTGTAATCCCAATGCGTATGGTGGGTGGGAGAATGCTGGAACAGAGAGGAAGGAGCTAAGCCAGAAGCTGGGATGGAAAAAAAAGAAGAAGAAGAAGAAGAACCAAAATTTCAGTCTTTACAAGTGACTCCAAAGCTTTCATCTGGACCCAGGAGGAACTCTAGCTATAAATGGATGGAAAGCTGAACCTGTGGGGTTGGAGAGATCAGCCAGTGCACGTAAAGGGGTAGGAAGAAGTTTCCATCTCCAGTTTAACTGCACCCAAGCTAGGGCATTTAGGCAATTTTATCAGAGTTAAGCAAGCAGATGTTGAGGAAGCAGTGATATGCTGGTAAACCAGCTCTGGGCAGGGAGCAAGGCGAGGTGCAAGGAGAAGCCATAGTTTGTAGTGTTTCCTGGTTTCTGTGGTGTAAATACTCTCACTATAACTAATTTCAGGCTAACAACATGCTGTCACTGGATGTTGGGTTGGGAAAATAAGACCATAATCAGCTCTTATGAGTGGGTGCAAGCCAGCTCTAGCCACTACTGCTTTGGGTGCCCATTTCCTAAATTATGGTGATTCAGGAAAAAGTCCATTATCAAAAAAAAGAAAATATCCATTATCATCGTCATCCTCATTTAAGACATTTTGAGCACCTCCCATGTGTAATGAGATACATCTCTTTTAAATGTCTTCTGAGTCTAAGATCTCAGTTATGAGGGCCCTGAGGGAACTTGAAGATCATCCCATCCACTCTCTTGTGTTACTGAGAAAAAAATTACGTTTTGGCCAGTGTCACCCAACTGGTCTTCTTTCTTTAAACCTCTGCCTTTCCACCCACTATTCTGGAACAGTCCATCATTATGTTGGGCAGGTTCTATGTCTCACCCAACATAAAAATTATTCTACAAACATGAAGAATACCCTCTAATTTTTACCCTGAACTTACTTCCCACAGAGAATGGGCTCTCATGCATGTTGAATGTCTTTTTTTTTTTTTTTAAGACCTTTCTCTTCCTAGTAAGTCCGAGGGGAAGACGAACCATGAGAGACGATGGACTCTGAAAAACAAACTGAGGGTTCTAGAGGGGAGGGGGTCGGGGGATGGGTTAGCCTGGTGATGGGTATTAAAAAGGGCACATTCTGCGTGGAGCACTGGGTGTTAATGCACGAACAATGAATCATGGAACACTATATCAAAAACTAATGATGTAATGTATGGTGATTAACATAACAATAAAAAATTTAAAAAAAAAGACTTTCTCTTCCTAAACTCCAACCTTCAATGGACAATTTTATTTACCTGACTACACCACACCTTGTTCTAGCAGGGGTTTAAGGTGGATACTGAGGATGCTTTTTTAGACCCTTCTTTAATTCCTTCTAAGAAACCTTTCCAACCGCTTTAAACTAAGCTCTGACAAACGGAACTATTGCTAATTCCTGAACTTTCCATGATCTTTAAAGAGATCCACACTTTTGCATAAGGTATTCACACTTTCCACTCAGCCAACTCATTCATCCATCAAGACCAAAGTCCAGTGAAGCCTCGGTGAGGACTTGCATTGCGTCAAGAGAAGTGTTTGGGACCCTGTTGTGCACCTCCATACCACATGAATAAATCTCTTCTACAGAAAGTTCTACGCTGTGTCACAGTGACTTGACTCCCTCATTCAACCATGAGTCTCTGAGTGCAGAAGTTGCTCTCCTGGCACACAGCTGGTCCTGGCACAGAGCTGGTGCTCAATAAGTGTATGTAGGATCTGTAGATTAATGTTTGAGGGGATAGAAGGATATACAGATGGATGAATGGATGTGTCCTTCCTGTTTCTGCTGAGACTTCTCCTCTGGCTTGAACCTAGGACAGACCTTCTACCCACTATTCCAATACCAAGTGCCCAAAGCCCCAGCCCCACTCACCTGAGAGGCAGAGAAGGAGCAGAACTGGGGACAGCCACATGGTCCTGTCTCTCTGTCTGGTGCCCCAGCAAATCCAGATGCTTGTGACAAAGCCTACGGTGTCCACTTGCTACTTGCTCAAGTTTCCTTTGTGTTTCTGTCTCTCACCTACTTCCTCTTTCATCTCCTAGCCACTTCCTAATTTGAAGCCCTACTTAGGAAAAGGTGAAGAGTGGCAAAAGATACTTCAGAGAATGGCCTAGAACAACAGGAGAAATCTGCTGATCTTTTCTTCATTTAATGGCAATATAATGTTTGGATCATACCCCAAGGCTTCATGAAAGTCAGTCCCAAAATATAAAACCTCCAACAGAGGACAACCTTTGTCCCCATCTCTCATTTTTCTTCCTGTCCGAGGCTGCTTGTTTGACCTAACGAGCTGTCCCTTCTCTCTGGCTGCATACTTTTGGGTCATAAAACACCCCACTTAAATATCTGGGGTGAGGACTCCCCATAACTCTCTCAACCACTACCTCCATGTGGTTGACCTCATACCTCTTCCTCTAACCTAGTCTCTCTTCTGGGCTCTGGACCCAACTTTCTGACCTCCTGTGGGGAAGCTCTACCTGCTTGTATGCTATTAATCTAATTCAATATAAGGGTGTTGGTGAAGGGCATAGATTCTGGAGTCATGCAGATTCAAATCCCATCTCCATCATGTACTAACCATGTGCCCTTGGGCATGTTGCTAAATCACTCTCATCCCCAGCTTCTTCATCTGTAAAATAGAGTAATAGTAACCATTCTTACCTCATAGGAAATAAAGGGGTGAACAAACGTAAAGCACTTGGCACAGGGCCTGGAACAGAGTAACAGCTCAGTAAATGTTAACTATCTTTAGAATAGTCCTGGACCAGGACTAGCTTCTCATCTGGTCTGTCAACCAGCTATACATTCCCTCCAATTCAACTTACACATCAGAAATATATTCTTCTCAAAGACACAGGTATCAGCTTTGCCCAAATTATTTAAGTTCACAACAAAGCTATAAGGCAGGTACCATTATCCCCATTTTATAGATAAGAAGACAGAGGCACAGAGACGTCCTGAAACCAGACATCATCAAATCAAGTCCACGTATCCCAGGCAAGTTTGTTAGCCCTAAGGATTTGGGGGGAAAGCCAGTAGAGGAAGTAGGAAACTGACAAAGAGCTTAGCAGGTAAGAAGTCAAGAGATCACCTTCCCAAAGGAAGCACAGCCTCTTTTCCACCTCCATCACCCCAATATCTTACCAATGCCAGAGGCCACAGGCTGCAAAATCCACAGCATGGCTTATATGACATGGGAACCACTGTCTGGTGTCAACTCAATGCCCAGAGCCATTTTGCTTGGGGACAGCAGGAGGCCCATAGGGCTCTGGCCTGCACACCCCCATCAGCAACTGTCAGAAGCCCCTGGAACACATACATTTGGGGGAAGAGGCTTAGCTCCTAGGAGACAAGGCTCATCTTATCACTGTCTGCTCCACCACACTAGAGAGGAGATGGAAGCTGGGGCAGCCCAAAGATGAGCACAGACAACATTAGGGAAATGCAGCCATCAAGGAATGCAAATCAAAACCATGGTGAGACACTACTTTACACCCACTAGGATGGCTACCATCAAAAAGTCAGATAGTAAGTCTTAGCAAGGATGTCAAGAAGTCAGAACACCCAGAGGCACCTGGGTGGCTCAGTCGTTAAGTGTCTGCCTTCAGCTCAGGTCATGATCCCAGGAGGGTCCTGGGATCGAGCCCCGTATCTGGCTCCCTGCTTGGCAGGAAGCCTGCTTCTCCCTCTTCCACTCCCCCTGCTTGTGTTCCTCCTCTCACTTTGTCTCTCTCTGTCAAATAAATAAATAAATAAATCTTAAAAAAAATTTCAGAACGTCCATATACGCATTCATGGGAAAGAAAAAGGGTGCAACCACTTTGTGGAAAACAGTCTACAAATTCCTCAAAGGATTCCACATAGAGTTACCATATGACCCAGTGATTTCACTTGTAGGTGTACACCCAAGAGAAATGAAAACATATGTCCACGCAAAAACTGGTACACAAAGGTTTCTAGTAACATTATTCAGAATAGCCAAAAAGTAGAAACAACCCAAATGTCCACCAACAGATGAATGGATAAACAAAATGTGATCTAACCTTACAAAGAAATATTATTCAGCCATTAAAAGGAATGAGACCTGCTACAAGGTGAACCTGAAAATGTTATGCAAAGTGAAGGAAGCCAGTCACTGAAGACCTCATAGTATGTGATTCTATTCATTACAAAGTCCAGAATAAGGAAATCTATAGATACAGAGTCGTGTAGGGGTTGCTTTAGACTTGGGGAGATGCAGGAAGAGATGATAGCTAGAAAGTATGGGGTTTCCTCTTGAAGATGATGAAGATGCTCTAAGATCGGGTGTGGTGATGGCTGCACGTATCTGTGAGTACGCCAAAAGCCACTGAATTGCACACTTTAAACGGGCGAGTTGCATGATATGTGAACTATATCTCAATAAAGCTTTTTGTTTTTTTCTTAAGATGAGCACAGAGAGGCAGGAGGCTGGCTGGTGGGTGGGAAGGGAGAGGTAGGCCTGGGAGATGGGTCTCAGAATGGTGCTCTCCTCTGCCCCCCACCCCATTCTGTGTCTTTATTCTTCAACCAGAGCATAGCACATGGGCCTGGGGAAGACCAGGCTTTTCAGAACATCAGCAGTGGGAAGTGAAGGGACCAGGGTAGGGGAGATGGCACCACACAAGAGAGCTGCATCCAGAGACAGGTGTCTGAACCTCTCCCCCACTCTCAGCAATGAGCAACCCATATGTAGGCGAAAAGTCAGAAAGCGCAGCTCCAAAATTAGAAGAAAAAAAGATTAGACACCTGCCCATACAGGTAATGCTGAGCAAAGGAAGGATGAAGCAATAACAAGCACGAGCTCGCCCATAATTGCTTCTACTAACATTTCCTTTATTAAAAAAAAAAATCCACACAGCTCTTGAAGGGTGCTCATGATAGAGTTCTAGGAAATAAAACAATTAAATGACAAATGCATTTTGAAAACTGAAAAAATAAGTGGACTCTGCATAAAACAATGGAGACGAAGAATAATGTGAGTCAAAACCTTAATGATTGAGGAAAGAATTTTTCTGGGGGCCTGTCCAACTCCAGAAAGGACCCCATGCAAGCACTAATAAGCAACTACTGTAGAAATAGAGCCTTTGGAGTGGAGGTGTGATGTCCTTGAATGGGTGTCAAATCTGGATGTCAGTGTGTGAAGAATGCAGATGTTGCTGGTGCTTTTGAAAGAAAAGGAGGGCTTTGAAATCTGATTCAGTGGCTTCCCTGCTTTCAAACTTTCTCCATCTCCCCTTTAGCTATAGTCAAGTCCAGACCCTGGTGTGATATACCAGACACGGCTCCTGGCTGGCTTCCAGCCTCTCCCAGTCCTCCACAGCTCACACTCTGTGCCCCAGCCATTGCAAACAACTTCCAATGTCCAAACAGCAGGTGCTCCGTTGGGCCAGCAAGATGGTGCACACGGTGATCTCTCGATGCCCACCCAACCTCCCATCCACCTGTCCAGGCACCTGCACCCTCTCAGCTTCCTTCAAGATACAGATAAAGCCTTCCCTCCCAACCCTGGCACTGGCAGACTTGACCCCTGCCTCAGCCACCGCTGCACCTGTGTTAATGTCATTCTCTCCTAACCCTGCCCCAACATGCTATCTCGGGTTTTCTGTCTTCAGTTTTGCTCTGTTTTGTTTTGTCTTTGGAGGTTCCCTCAGGTCCTGTGAGTTGAGTTCATTGGTCCAGGAAACCCCCCCCCCAACAAAACTTGTCATTTCTTTATTTGGTGCTTTCAATTCCATCCCCTGTTCACACACCTCAAAGACAATCCTTCAGTGGACATCCCTGCATCCCTGTGATTATAAGGTACATCTGCTTGCTTTGTATGCATATGTTTAGCCGAGATGTATTTCAACAGATGAATGGATAAAGATGTGATTCATATATACAATGGTATATTATTCAGCCATCAGGAAGGATGAATACCCACCATTTGCATCGACATGGATGGAACTAGAGGGGATTATGCTAAGTGAAGTAAGTCAAGCAGAGAAAGACAAATATCATATGGTTTCACTCATATGTGGAACATAAGCAATGGCATGGAGGGCCATAGGGGAAGGGAGGGAAATCTGAAGGGGGAGAAATCAGAGAGGGAGACAAACCATGAGACACTATGGACCACAGGAAACAAATTGAGGGTTTCAGAGGCACCTGGGTGGCTCAGTCGTTAAGCGTCTGCCTTCAGCTCAGGTCATGATTCCGGGGTCCTGGGATTGAGCCTCACATGGGGCTCCCTGCTCAGCGGGAGGCCTCCTTCTCCCTCTCCCACTCCCCCTTCTTATATTCCCTCTCTTGCTGTCTCTCTCTCTGTCAAATAAATAAATAAAATCTTTTAAAAAAAAACTAATGATGTACTATACGGTGGCTAACTGAACATAATAAAAAATCAAAATAAATTTTTAAAATAAAAATAAAAAATAAAATAAAATAAAACCACATTTTTTGGATGGTTTCGGGCCATCCATCTCATTCTGGTTTTACTTTCTTCACTCAGCACCAAGTTCTTTTTTTTGTTTGTTTCTGGTTTTTTTTAAATAATTTTTTATTGTTATGTTAATCACCATACATTACATCATTAGTTTTTGATGTAGTGTTCCATGATTCATTGTTTGTGCATAACACCCAGTGCTCCACGCAGAATGTGCCCTCTTTAATACCCATCACCAGGCTAACCCATCCCCCCACCCCCTCCCCTCTAGAACCCTCAGTTTGTTTTTCAGAGTCCAACGACTCTAATGGTTCGTCTCCTCCTCCGATTTCCCCCCTTCATTCTTCCCCTCCTGCTATCTTCTTCTTCTTCTTCTTCCTCTTCTTTCTTAACATATATTGCATTATTTGTTTCAGAAGTACAGATCTGTGATTCATTTCATCAGTCTTGTACAATTCACAGCGCTC